CCGGGGGGTGATTGTCTGGGGGTATTTGTCCTGATACCGTTTTGGCGCATTATTCAGGGGGTTTAAATTTGTTAAATATTTTATTGGTTTCCTTGTGGCCCAACATTTGAGAGTGTTACGTGTTTTGTGCGATGTAAATGCATAATACAATGATGAAATTCATTCTGTGATAGTGATAAGTGAGTTGCTGTGATATTAAAGACAATACGTATGGGTTGGAGTATTTAAAACGGTGCACATACCAAGCTGTTGTAGAGAAAGTACGATGCATTATAAACCTTCACGTTCGTACGTAGGTTTTACTTCGATTTTCAAATGACTTATTGTTTCCTAGCACTAAACTAGCATAGCAAAATCATATCAACTGGCATTTCTAGTGACCCGTTAAATTGTGGTTATTTCATGTCTATGGCTATCCTATGCATGCACAAAATTGTTTAAAAAAATGCAGTCGGTTGACTTCAAGTTATAAATATTAATATGTACGGGTTATTAATATTAATATATTATTAATATATTATAATTATATTAATATTATTTATTAATATATTATATTAATACATTATAATATTATTAATATATTAATGTGTACGGTCAAGTTATAAATGTACGGGTGGTTGAATAGGCAGTTATATTTCAATTATAAGGCCGACACAAGAATATAAGTTGCTGTTTAATGAATTAATTACGTGTAAGTTTTGTGTGTAGGTTACTAATTTTGTATGTATCTTTTTGCATTATATTGCAAACTAGCGTAGACATAACCGGGTGCAAATAAGTGTATATCATCTAATTTAGAAGTAAACATAAAAATAAACATAAAAGAGCATTTTTTGTTTAAGCATTTCTGTGTTAACTAAATCTTTGAACCTGTTTGCACAGCATTTGTTAATTTGGCACGATCGTATTGATTAGATCTGTCAGAGCATTTGTTAGAATGAAGCGTATAATAGTCAGAATGTCAGGCTTAATACCGAGTGGTTTTTCCCGTCGTAAATATCTGTGTGTACGTGAGCTTGTGTGCGTATCTTAATTGTATCCATTGATGTTACTAGGGCATCGAAGTGGATGTGAACTTATACAATGCGTTTAATCAGTATTGTGGTGAGATATTCTTGCCTCGATGAGTTATTTATTCCCATTGCACATTGCATTTGACTCTGAGAAAGTGCACAGCTGTTTGCAATCCTCAGTTTTATTGGTGTCTGTTACAAGATGCCTTTTTATAGTACCGCTATGCGTATTGAAAAGATGAATTTCGTGTGATGTGTCTTCTTTTTAGAGTTTGTCAATTTCTATTAGCTGATATATTCTGGATTTATAGAGGTACTGTTCGGCTTGGCTTATATTACATTCGACAATTGTTATCTGTCGACGTGACTCCATATTGCGCACAACGTACTATACAATTGCATTGTTTGGAATGCATAATGAAATAATAAGGTATATTTAAAATTTGTTTCTACTCCTTACTTTTCTTTACTTGTAATAATAAGTATGTCATTATTTAAAAATGACCCTTTTTTCACTTTCATAGTCAGCGATCTTTTAAAACCTATGAAGAGCCAGAATAACATGGTGAGAGTTGCATAATTCAGGAGACGTTCTAACTTTATAGTCCTTTAATACTAACAGTAACTAATTTAACCATAGCTTAGAAAAACAACTCGGTGAATCCATACTTCGTAGAGATGGCTTAGTCCCATTCCCTCTGATGCCATTGTGTGTTTGCACTGCCTTGTGAGTGTATGTGTATATATTTTCCCTATAATGGTCCAGTAGTTTTCCGTCTTCCCAATCCCTTTCGTTTATAACGTCTGGCCTTGTCCATTGATGCTGATATAGGTAGGCTTGTATAATGGTGATGACGTTCTTTCTTATCATCGTACGTCAACAATTGCTTGGCTTCAATTGAGGTAATAGGCGGGGAAAGTTCGGTTATTTTGGGGACGCGTGATTGTACCATTGTAATTACCGGAGATCCGAGAAATACCAGATTTCTGATCCAGGAAAAGAAATCAACCGCAACACGGGATTGCGCCATTTTAATAACTGGGAACCGAGGAATTACCAATAATTTCTTCATGATTCGGAGGGTCACCCGGAACGCAGGGAACCCCCTTAAAAAACTTCCTGGGCAGAACGATGACAATGTCTCGAAGGAGCATAATTATTTCTTCCCGAATGGCCAGTGCAAACGAATAATAAGTAAATATGATTAATTCAAGGAAATTGTTATTCAGGTTAATTCATTAATATCAAGAAAATTAAATTATTATTTTAATTAACCGGAAACGGTGGCACATTTTTGCATGGGAAACTGGGTGTATGACCCATCCTCTGTCTTACGAGTAATCGCATTCGTAATCAGGCGCGGGCAATCCGAGAAGATATCGCCCAGACGGAAGTCAGTGGTCAACGGCACGTAAAAAAACAAAACAATTATTTCCATTAGTACCAGCGCCGTGCACGCGCAAATGTGCGCGACAAATCTAAACGTTCATTAACACCATGGTTAGCAGGAAAGTTTGTCCTAGAAATAGCAGGGTGATGGCGGTATCTCTAACTAAATATTTAAACTAACTAACTAATTAACTAAACCAATAAATAGATAGATAGATAATAATAATAATAAATAAATAAATAAATATAGGTGTATATATATAGATAAAGATAATACATATATATGTGTATACTGTTACTGTATTGTCCTACATTACGCTCGAGTGAAAGTTGCGCCACTTCGGTGTGTGACACAAGTGACCTATATGTAGATAGACGTCGTGACTACGCGAGCAATACGCACTGGTACCGCTGCTGGTCTACGCCGGACACCTTCTGTTTCGCACGTGTTCGTCTCACCTCATCTTACGGACGACAAGTCATCGTATATACCTGCGTCAGTTGTATATGTAGGGCAGTGATGCTACTGGTGACATAAACTTAAACGTAATGAGCTGTGCAAGTATAGATGGTCGCGACTATCCGCGGCATTTTAGCGACGTTATTGGATGGCCGTCAGGTGTATTGCTGAAGAGAAAGTCGAGAGCCTATCTATAGACGACGGCGTTGCAGAATACCGAGTACTGCTAAGAACGCGCATGACGCTGGTCGACAGAGCGTGACTCCTTCAGACAGTAGGTTAGTGCATTGCTAGACCACGCAGTTTTCACTTTCCTTTTGGACGAGTCGCCCGTGGTCATCGTCGGAAGGTCAACTTTGGTGAGGCGTTGGGCTACGTGTTAAGATTACAGGTGCGTTATAGGTTTACGATTATTTATTTTTGGGTGCGTGCTGTGCAAGCGGTACACTTTGTATCTGCACGGCGTATTACACTTGTTTATTACAGCGGCATTGCTAACACATGATCTCATTTTACACGCGCGCATCGCTAGCGTTAGTATATGTATAGCAACTTAAGTACAACTTAGTAGGCGGTGGCAACTTAAACATCGCTTGTATATGTGACGTGCGTAAGAATCCGCATGTCATAAAAGTGCAGAGGATCCACGTTAGAGATCGCCCGCTCCCTTTGCCGCGCAGAATTCTTCTACGAATGATTACGTAAATACGGTTAAACTTTCTTGCTTTCCTTGATGTGGTTATACACGCGGGAGGTTAACGGCTAATGGTATTACCGTGGCAAAGTGTTGCGGGCATTTATGGCGGATTCTTTACAGGCCTCCTGACTACAATAACATGAAGAGCTACATCATCGCGATTGTCGTGTCTGTGTCACTCTGCATAGTAGAGGTAAGACGAAACTACCGTATATGCGTTATGGCCTTATATATAATTTATATACTGATCGAAAACACTCGGGAAATTGGTGAAATGGAATTCGCATCAGCTAGCTCGGAGATAATCAAATTATATGAGACTACGATGACATCAGCAAAGCAGCAGAAGTTGCACTGGATATGGCAGTATCAGTAGCTGCAGTAGCAGCCGCAGCAATAGCAATACTTAGCTGCAACCATGCAGTAGTTGTAATCCGCGATTCCCACACGGAATATAGGTTACAATTCGCCATTCCTCAATTACCATGTTGTCGGGTTAACTTTGCGAATTCTTGCTTTACATGAGGCGACCAACGAACGTCCTTCCTATGACTATGACCGCCGTTCACGGCAGCGAGCCAACTTTGCAAGACGACATCCGCAAAGATTCAACGATCATCAGCCATCGCGGTCACCGTACGAGTATGGTAGAGAGAGACACGGTAGAGAATACCCATCACCGTACGGTTACAATAAAGAGAGACACGGCAGACAGTACCCCTCAGCGTACGGGTACAATAAAGAGAGACAGGGCAGACAGCACCCCTCACCGTACGGGTATGGTAGAGAGAGGCAGGGCAGACAGCACCCCTCACCGTACGGGTATGGTAGAGAGAGCCACGTCAGGCAGCACCCCTCAAAATACGATAACCGCGCCGAATACGATGATAATCGACACGTTTCTCCGCCCGACAACCATCACCGGCCGCTACGCGCAAGACAACAACGCAACAATGGATATCCCGCTCGCTCCCCGTATTATCCCGCCGGCACGGAGCGCCCCCTGTCGGACTCCGCACACTACTCTGGTCGACGCCCCTATGCGGACTATGCGGATCGTGCCCGGCAGCTTCCGCCACAGAATATAAACTACTACGGTTCCGGCTCGCAATCCGACGAACGCCGTCAACAGTCTGTCGATCAATATTATCCGCCCTACCGGCCTCGATATGCCAACGACGAAAACCAAACACCATCCAAACAGGAATCACATCAGCCAGCCGTAAGCCGATATGCTTCTAGATCGCCGTATTCGACGAGCAGTAATCAGTATACAGTTGCGCATGACAGCTATCGCCCGCCTGTACAGCCTGCGCATGCGCAGCGTGTCGCCTACGCTCCTGCGCCGTCTCAACGCGACGACGCTCAGCCGACAATATCCTATAATGAGCACGCCTATGCGAAACAATACGACGCCAGTCAGCAAGCTTCGCAGTATGGCTACAATCCTAACGCTAACTACCAGCAACCTCCCCCAGGCAGCAGCTCCTATCCTCCAACAACGCAGCATGGCTACAATCCTAACGCTAACTACCAGCAACCTCCCCCAGGCAGCAGCTCCTATCCTCCAATAACGCAGTATGGCCACAATGCTAACGCTAACTACCAGCAACCCCCAGCAAGCAGCAACTCCTATCCTCCAACAGCGCAGTATACTAACGCTAACTACCAGCAACCCCCAGCAAGCAGCAACTCCTATCCTTCAACAGCGCAGTATACTAACGCCAACTACCAGCAACCTCCCCCAAGCAGCAGCTCCTATGCTCCAAATACTCCAATAGAGCAGAATAGCTACGATACTAACACTAACCATCAGCAATCAGTCGGACACGACGGTTCCGACCGAGTGCATTCTGGGTATCAACAACAATCACCGACGACACCCCAGCGATCGCCGCAACCAGCAAGCTATTACGCGCCGGAATATCCTCCCCATTCCGTCAGTCAGCCGGTAAATTACGCCAGTTACTCACCTCCCGATGCGCCACAGCAGGGCACTATTTCGCCGCAGCCGGTTCAATACGTCGCCGGTCAACCGCACGCGCACGCGCAGTACAACGCGGATAACGCGCGCGGCGGGCGCATCGATGGAGGTCATCTTGAAGATGGAGATTACCGCCAGGGGGCGCATAGCGGCGGGACCCTGCACGGCGATGCGGACCATGGAGGTCATGCCGAAGAGGGAGGTCACGGCACTTATCGCAAGGGCGCACACGAGTGAGTTGGGCTGCACTGTTACTTTATATGGCTTAGATATGTATTACGTTGCCAGCTTGCTCGTACGTTGTGCATGACTTAATAACACGTTACAAAGCACGCGCTCTATTTTACGCGAAGTATATGAACGTTAATTTTTGAGACACGGAATTGGATCTATTATTTGTCTTAGAACCGGGAAGTACCTGATAACTTTTTTCTAATTTGGAAATAGAGGTCTACTGGGACGCGGGAAATCCGAAATTTTGAAAGCGGGTTTAATTAGATGTGAACTAGAAAATGGCATATTTTTACATGGGAAACTGCGAACGGACTTTCTTCTCTATACAGTGATGATGTAATTATTTATGATAAACTGCAGCTACTCGACCGCACACGAAGTACGTCTGCTACAGATCTTTTCTTGCGGCGTATATTGTAGCCCAATAATAAATATTAGTGTAAACTCGCTTGCTGCATATTCGCATGCACCAGCTGTTTGACGTCTTCGCACATTTTGCAGGAAAGGATATGACAAGGTTGACGTCTACATTAACAAGCGTGACGGGGTCCGCTATGGCTACAGATACGGAACGGAGTTCTTCATACCGGCGCCATTTCCCTACGTCGCTCGGCCGGGCGAGCCTGATCCTGTTGGCGTAGGCCTCGCGGGTATAGTGAGAGCTGATCAGGTGTATCAAGAAGGCGTAGCCGCTGCTCAAGCTAACACTCTCGCTTACTAATAAACTATGCTGACGAACATGTATATACGAATTTTTTTACAAACAAAACTTGTTATTACAAAATCTATTTACGAGTGTACTATAAAATTAGTGGCACGTAATTAGTATACGCTGTTTGTTTCGTTGAAAAAGATATAATAGGTACGTCGGCTACTATATCACTGTTATCATTTGTTGTTAACGCACTTCATTTCGTGTTTAGGCTACTGGGTCGTGAATGTCTTTCCGAAAGCATAGTCTAACGCAAACCAGCGGGAGTTGACGATTTATACTCTTTATCGGCTAGTGATTCTAATTACCACATTCATTACGCAAACGACTGTGTACTACATTATTTGAGCGTTTAAAACGAGTGTTTAATTTGCCATTTGCTATCGCAATCGTGTCAACAATTGCATTGAGTGTAATCATGTCATCACGGATACCCCCAAAAAACGTAATAACCGCTATTTAAATTGTCATTGAAATCTTAGCATTAAACTAAAGAATTTTGTACTAAGACGATGAATGCAGATTACCATTTACGAATAAAACACTTTCAGAAGTACATTACAGTATGGTTCGCGCGTAGCGATGTGTTTGTGTTGCTTTACTTCCTATTACGATGGCTCTGCATGTACGTGACGTCAGGTGTTTATGTAAAAATGTTGTTGCTCGATAGCGGCATTCGTGACGATTCTCACCTCTCGGGGATATTTTCTCGATATCCGGCCCCTGGTTTTTTACCACCCCATTGTGATGTGCGGGTAAATTTACTCAGCGTTGCAATGTGAGTCCAACTGACTGGCAAACATGTCATTCGCCACTATTACTAGACAATGTAATTCAGCAATATTTGAGCTGGATTTGCTCTTTACTGGCACTTCTAGCTGCATGGTTCGAGCAGAGATATTAGGTTAGCCAAGACAGATAATCGATAATAACACCGAGTCGCTATATATCTGCTGGTCCTGTAACGAACTAAGCCAGTAACATGCAATTCGTACTCCTATCTAACGATAATTTCGTACTATACGGTGTTTTCGTTGAGCCAAATCGTTACATGAGATCCGCCTGTATTGGCAAACATATTATATGATTGATATATTATATTGAATATAAATGATCATCATATAATATCATTATTCATATAACAAAAGGAGAATCCTTTCAATTAATCAATCTTTTAATTCTCTCTTCCTAATTTGTTTATTTGTATGCATACAGTGTATATAAGTACTAAGTAGACAGTGGGCGAACATAATATAACGCAAATCTCCGGACATTCTATCAGTTTCATGACATTACCAGGCTTTACGATTGCATATAACATCCGTAGGATAATATAAGCGCCTCGCCACGCAGTAAGCTCCTATTACAGACAAGACGGTTACTTGTGACGTAGCTTAATATCTAACGATTTCTTCAATAAAAATTTTCAAGGGCAGACAATTCGTATATTCGATTCGAAAAATCTATCTTCATGATATAAATGAACAGCACATACACGTTAGGCATATTTACGTAGATAACAATGCGTTCTGTGATTTTTATCAATATGTTTTGATTTTTTTTATTGATGGATACCATTTGAGTATTACTATTGTTATTGATATCAACTAAATCGGCTCACAATTTACTGATTGCTTGCTTAGATTAAAAATAGATCGCACTCGAGCCCTTAAAGTGATGACGTCACCGTAAACAGTAAAAGTAAAAAAAAAATCCACTTTTTCACAAAATGTAAGTATAATTCTGTTCACTTTTTATGGTTAAATTGCTGCATTATACTTGCTATTTTACTATATTGTTCGATGTAAACATACACTCGTGACTCATACATAGCCAATAGCAAGCAATTAATGCCAGGGGCCCGTTGTCAGAAACAAAATTAGTCTTAACACTAGTCTTAACATTAACCTTTTCTCTTAGACCGTCGACAGAAACGCTGCGAAGTTACCTGAATGAAAAATCGTAGCAGATTTCCTGATAACAATACGAAACAAAGCGCTGTCGACGGTCTACGAGAAAATGTTATTGTTAAGACAAATGTTAAGACTAATTTTGTTTCTGACAACGGGCCCTATATACTGGATCATAATATCAAATCGTTTTTTGGATTTTAACTAGTTGAGAAACAATCTTATCAGGTAAGAATTTGACGATACATTTAGCCCCGTTAGTACTTACTTTTAATGTAAAAAAATGGCAACAAAATTTAAAAAAATATACACCAGGAAATTCGTGACGTAGTCAATTTAACACAGTAGACAGAGGAACGGGCTCGCCACAGAAAACAACAGCAACAAAAATATGTCGTAGTTTAATCCTTTGATGCGACTATATGTGCATATGGTATGTGCGTGATTAAATTAGCATCACACACGTGGCCATAAACAGTATTTTTATTATACCGCAGTGTCATCTAAAAGCAAATATATACATTGTGTGGATAGTTGCATCCGAGCAACCGAATGGAAATTTATCTGTACTGTTACAGATTTTTCGCTGACCTAGTTCTACTGATTCTCCATTGAAGTCAGCTTCAGTCAATGGATAGAGCCACGGTTTCCCTATACTGATTGACATTCTCATCCCATATCACATCACTCTAATAGGGAAACAATATCGGACGTGTGAGTGGATTCATGGGCAAAATCAATCATTTCTATTGACATAGTCAGAATGACGCAAGTGTCACACAATACCCCGCGTACAAAAGATGCTACTGTTGTGCACTCGTCTAATGATTGCCATTGATGGATAAGCATTACAAGTTAATTTTGGGCGAGTAGCTGATTTCGCGTCAATATGTCGCCTGTGAATCAATGGATAGAGCCACGGTTTCCTTATACTGATTGACATTCTCATCATATATCACATCACTCTAATAGTGAAACAATATCGGACGCGTGAGCAGGGGCGTAGCTACGGGGGGCCGGGGGGGGGGAAGCACGTGCCCCCCCCCACAAATTTTCTGTGCTCCCAGGTGCCCCCCACAGAAAATTCATGCTTGATAAAAAACAATTGAATTAAAAACAATGCCGTTAAGAGGGCAGCACACTTCACCATTTTCGTTGCTCGTACAGGCAATTTTCGTGGTCGCCACAAAAATGGCCAGGTGTGCGGGCGCCGGCAACGACCACTCGCCACGGAAATTTAGTGGTGACCACGAGTTGCCGAGAATCAAACCGGTTTGATTTCTCACCACGAAAATTGCTCGTGGTGGCAACTTGTGGTGAAGTGTGCTGCGACGCGGCAACGGCCACAAAAATTGCCGACCACGAAAATTGCCTGTACGAGCAACGAAAATGGTGAAGTGTGCTGCTAGCTTTAGAACAGTATAATACAAAGAAAAGTTATATATTGTGCCCCCACGAAAATGTAAGGCCCCCCCCCAGTGCCCCCCGCTGAAAAAAATCCTAGCTTCGCCACTGCGTGTGAGTAGATTCATGGGCAAAATCAATCATTTCTATTGACATAGTCAGAATGACGCACGCAAGTGTCACACAATACCCCGCGTACAAAAAATGATACTGTTGTGCACTCGTCTAATGATTGCCATTGATGGATAAGCATTACAAGTTCATTTTGGGCGAGTAGCTGATTTCGCGTCAATATGTCGCCTGTGAATGCATGAATGATACTGGGATATGTGCCTGACAAGTCAGTCACCTACTGTGCGCGTTATATATTGGTTTACAGAAGTGGTTATCAACCCTTGGGGCGCAACCCAAATCTTCGTCGCTAAACCAATTTAATGTAGTCGCTATAAGGGTCTCCATCGACAGTAGTCAGGTTAGGGGCTGCGTGGGGTCGCTACTGCGATTATAGACTGTTTACTGGTGCACTGGTTGATGGACAACACTACTCCAGCGTTCAGCACTGTTTTCAGCGTAATAATTAGTTATTCATATTGTATACCAATTTGTACTGTTAATTAGTAATAATAAATAAATAAAAGATAAAAGTCAAAACATAGCGTGTGTTATAGATGGCACCATTGTTCGGTCGCGGCTAGCTAGTAGCGGCGTATATCATTCATGACATTAGTTGCGCTAGGTTAGTTTATTTGCACAATGTCATATATATACGTCGAGCTGGTAATGAGAGTGATATTAAATTAACATGCGACAAACGGTGAAACGTAAAAATTAAAGTAAATGCTGATTAGGTGAATTAAAAAAGTAGTTGCAAACATTTAAAGCATCTTTTTAATTATTTATACCGCACATTATCCGCAATTCCGAAATGCTCAGAGAGCTTGCGATTCTGAGAACTAGAGTCTCTATGTATCACGCAGCATTCCACTCTCTCAATAAGATTTAATAATTCACTGTAGCCTTATATTACTTAGTCACCTTAAATATAATTTGTACGCGCATCTGTTATTGTATATCTAATTAATTACCCTAATGTATAAAGCATTACTAGATTAATTCATTCCGCGTTGAGACCATGCATGCATGCACGAAAAGCACATTGGTAATACGATAGCTCTAGCATTTACGCTATTAACCCGGCTTCATATATCAGCAAACTGACATGGAAAGCCATGCGCGCATCCCTGTCGTACTATTCATCAAGCGTTTCAATTTTTGTGGAAAATTCGAGCAGAACGAACGAGCATTTTGCGAACGCCCGCGCGACGCATTGAATAACAACCGCGTGTCCATTTATGAACAGCGATCGGTAAACTACTGGCTATAATACTTAGCACTCACCGGAAGAACGCCAGTGGGAAAAGTGGTTTCGCGAGTGCACTGATGAGATAAGACCTGCGTTGAGAATTGAATACTCTAAACTGCATGTAATTGAACTAGAGACGTGGCCGAGAAACAAGGTTGCGGGGCTTAATATGCACGTGATTATTTGACACTGGCCATTATTTTCACGATGGCTACCGCGAACGATGCCTCGTGGCGGACTTGGAGGCATGTTGCGATAGATTGATACCAATATTTAATCATGCACAGTGCCACAATAATACTCTAGTCGCGGGGATTACTATAGCGCTGTTTGCACAATGACGCTGCCTCCGAGGTTAGAATTAGTATTGAGCGATAGGCAGTATAACCTACTGGAGCTTCACGTACTCACATCAGCACATTTTTCATGCACTTTTTCCCGCAGGTACACATATATACGATACTAGGGTATACTATATATATATATATATATATATATATATATATATATATATATATATATATATATATATATATATATATATATATATATATATACTAGGGTAATTTAAGCTCACGTCCATGCAACTGAACACAAATGTAAAGCGAAGAATGTAAAACTTTCCGTGGAAATTTTGCGCAGTCGAGCTTTTAAAAGAATAATAAATTTCTGTCATTGCACGCGCAGATGTAGTCATGAAATGTCGGTATTTCCCGTAGTGAATAAAAAAAGCTGTAATATAACTTGTTTTTATTCATTCCTAATATTATTACCATGCCGCAGTAAATCACGATTTTAGCCCATTTGTTTCCTTAAAAGATGCATAGGTACGGAGTGGCTGGGTGAACTGTTAGATTAGTTAATTGAGTTAGTTATTGCAAAAAACCTG